TGATACAAAATGTGCATCGAAGGTGTGTCAGGTTTATTTAGAGTTAAAGTAGGAGCAAGTAGTGCTGAATTGTATGGCTTTGCCCTCGCTACAAGCACTAGACCTTAGCCCCGTTGAATTTATTTTAAGACAATATAAAAGTGAAAGATTTAAACACGTTGTAACATGATAAGATACTCTCTGGGACTATCTAAACGACTGATAAAATAGTACGGATTCTCAAATATGTGCAAGAACTTGTAGAACCCATGCCAGACAGAGTACAAGCGGTGATTAAGGCCAAAGTTGGTCATACCAGTTATTCAGACATTTTGACTGTCAGTAAAGTTAAACAAATTTTTGTTGACGCACATTAGTGGAATTACATCTTATTCAAAAAAGTATTACTTGGCTGCACATTTGTATTAGTTTTTTTTTTAAATTCATGATGAAATAAGCACTGTTCTTAGTGCATGCAAGTGGAAAGATAGGCTTATAAAATCACTCAAATGGCATCAAATGAAAACAGCAACAGCATCATCCTCGTCAATATCAGCCTTTGTATTGACTACACCAATAATTATAGGGGCAAAGCTACAATAAGTACTACCGTTACTAAAAATGCTGACTAATGATGAAGGATTTATCTTATTTGTCCAACCAACACATCTGCCAGCGCTATGAGCTTTCTCACACAGACTTGGCTTCGCTTTCAACCCGTCATCGCGGCGCACAGCAGCGGCAGACGGTAGGTCCTTATTATATCCTTCCAAGACCCTCGGGAATATCGAGAATGTGGCGCTGTCCGGAGCGAGTCTGTCCATGCTGCGACCGATTGCCCAGAGGGGGTGGGTTGACTGATGAACAATGGACGGATGCAGAGGGAACAAGAATGACTAGGCCCAAATCACTCATAAAGATTATTCGGGAGGCAGTCCGGTTAGTGTTGAAGGCTTATTATTCTGGTCTACGAATCCACATGCTGGTTAGAGAAACCTAATTTTGCAGTCACCTCAGAGCATCAGTGAGTACAATAGAAATAAATTGTTTTAAATTCTATTAACCAGAACTGCATGAGCTGCGGTGATGAAAGGTGCTGAACTCTATTACTAGATTGGCCTACAAGCTATAGCCGAGTCCCGACAGGCAGCTACGACTTTGAGAATATTGCATGCTTCTCATTAAATTCAATTTCCTTGAAGTCTTGACTGACCTTCTTTTAAGCCACAGAATGCCATGCTAGATTCGGCAATTATCATTAGGTCATATCTCGTATAAAATATCCTAATTTTTTTTGTCAGAACGGCTAGTTCTATTCAGTGCGCATAAGACAATTGTCCATGAGCAGAAAAGAAGGCATCCAGTCAGACTGTCATGCAAGCAGAAGCATAGACGGATGGATAGAATGACGGGCGGACGGGAAAGCAGATGGGCTAGCAGAATTTGCGATGGCAAACTCTAGAGTGAAATGTCCGCTTTAAACATTTCTGTATCTCACGCCTAATAGCATAAGATGACCTGCAAATTAGCACGACCGACGTATAGAAGCGGAATCTCTTAATAAGTAACTGTGAGTCAGTTTTTCGTTTATATGATAGATTTGGCTGCAAGGGATGTGTGAATTTAGCTGTTTTCACCCTATTTTGCTCAGGGTGATGAAGCACTGGTAGTTTAGTTTTTCCGGCAATTATATGATTATGTCTAATGGTTCTATTAAATTTCGCATAGCCTTGCTTCATAAAAGTTATTCTCGTCCAGGGTGGACAGCAGTTTCGACCTCGAATAGCGGGACTCGAACTCTGAGGATGCTGATAAGACCAAGAAGGGGTCTGAAATGCTCTCTATTTTGTATAAAAATACCTTTTACGAAGCGGGTTTTA